ATGGCGCTGCCGGACCACGGATGTTGCCAGACCAGAGAGTCCCAGATTTGAGAATTTTAATTTATAGTAAAAATGCTCATGCCCTGCCTAAGTTTAGCACAGCCAGCACTGCTATCTGAGCTGGAATTACATTAGTGTCACAATAACACAGAAGGCATCTGAGCCAATGCCAGGTGTGCTAGAGAGCAGAGCTGCCTTAGATGGCGCTGCCGGACCACGGATGTTGCCAGACCAGAGAGTCCCAGATTTGAGAATTTTAATTTATAGTAAAAATGCTCATGCCCTGCCTAAGTTTAGCACAGCCAGCACTGCTATCTGAGCTGGAATTACATTAGTGTCACAATAACACAGAAGGCATCTGAGCCAATGCCAGGTGTGCTAGAGAGCAGAGCTGCCTTAGAGGCGAGCGGGAGGTTGCCAGGGGCTGTCATTTTCAAGGGGCTGCTGACAGAGCTGATCTTAGGGGCGGGCTACTGAATCCTCCCTGACCCCCCTTTTTTTTGCTTGACAAATTTTAGTCCAGTATTTTTTTTAAGCCATCTGGCATCCCTACAGGAAGTGTCCTGAGGCTGCCCATTGGTTAGGACCAGCCCTACCAGAAAGGGATGTTTTCCTGCCACCCCTCAGAGCTTTACGCACAGTTTTTCCCAAACACGTTTCAAGGAGACATCTCTCAGTTCTGGGTCACTGGGGGAAGCTTACCTGAGGCCAGGCTGGCTCCTCCCAGCTCGGATCCTCCGCACACGCAAGGGAAGCCCCAGCAGGCAGCTCAAGGCCGTGGAGACTCGCAAGATCTGGCCACCCTGTGAACAGGAGGCAGGTGGTCAGCGGCCCCACGGAGCACAGGGCAGGGATGGCTGGGCCAGGGCTCTTCCTCCATCCCCCTCCTCTACAAGGCCCCCAAGCCAAGCTAACAATCCCCATCTCCCTTCCCAGCAGGGGTCCAAATCCAGCCCCTTCTCCTCCACCCGCCAGCCAGGGATCCAGGCCAGCGTCCCCCCAGCACACACTGAATCTCCTCAGGGAGCCAGCTAAGGCCGGAGCCCAGCCCGGCATTCATGCTCCCTCGCCGGGCCGGGCCGGCCCCGAGGTGCCCAGCGCGGATGCTGCATCAGGAAGGCCGGGCCGGGCTTGGACTCACCCCCTCCATGACCCCGCCATCTATCTCCACCCTGTCTCCGTCCATGGGCGACAGGGAGCCGCGGCGCCTCCACGGAAAGGCGCGGCCCAGGCGACGGGGAGTTGGCTGGGCTCTGCACAGAGCGAGGCCGCGGCGGAACAGCCTCGCTAGGCCGGAGCTGGAGCCGGTAACACGTGGCTGGGGAGAGTCAAGACGCAGCAGCCGGCCCCGGAGGTAGCGGCGGACTAGGCTGACGCCAGCGCTGAAACGCCACTGGCTGGCTGACAGCTGCAGCGCCGGGCCCCCTCGCCCCTGCGGCTTTGCAGCTCGGAGAACGGATAGACCCGGCCCGACTCTCCCTCGCGTCCAGCCCGCTCCAGTCCCTCCCGCGAGAGAAGCTGGGGGAGGGGGTGAGGAATAGCGCCCAGATCTTGGCTCCTCTCCTGCGACACGCAAAGCTCCCTCTCACGCTGGCACCTCTGACCGTCAGTGGGAACTGAGATCACTTCCCTTTGTTTACATTTCCGCGTTAGCAGCACATTTCACCTGTGCTTCCTTACTGACCCTTCCATCCTCCTGCAAAACCTATTCCTAGAGGCGCGGAGAAGAGCAGCAGAGAATATATCATCGGCCATATTCTAACAGCTTTTAAGCAGCTATGTGCTTTACTGTCTGAAAGCAGGCTTATGTTTCATGAGAATGTTTGTTTCTGCTGCAGGGGAACTCTGTAGCAGAACTTTAATGGACTGTAAGGAGTTTTTACATTCTGGGAGTCGAGACCACAGAGGAGGAATTGAATTCTAAAATGTAGCTTGCGTGCCACTAATGAGAGTAAGCGTCTAGATAACAACGTACTTGCTTACAATATTAAAAAAGAGAATGCTTGATTTCCAGTGCTGCAGATCTTTAATTGTAGACACTGCAGGACTTCAAGGAGCATTTTCTTTTACAATAAAGTAATCATTAAACAGTTGGTGTGGACTGGTAATGTCCAAACATTATTATAATAGCTGCACAGAAGATGAGTGCAATATGTCAACATAAACAAAACAAAAAAGGGGCATAAAATAAAGGGATATATTTCTTACAGATTTTATCCCAGTGAATTATGTTTGGGGTTGTGTATGTTTTTTAAATGTATAGTTATATTAGTATAATCTGCAGCTTGAATGCAGTTATACTGGAGTAAAAGTGCATCTACTGGTATGGCTTATTCTCCTTCCTCTACAGGAATAAACTATGTAGTCATAAACACATTTACACCAATAACTGCATCCACATTAGGAACCTAAATGTGGACAATTCCTTACTGTGTAGATACAGACAGTTTTGATAGCATGTGTGTATTTTCAGTTACTGTGAAAGCTGAAAGATTTAGCCCTGTGCAGATACAAATTTTGTTTCTGCATCCAATCTATGATCTGCAAAAGTGATCCTCAGATATCTGCAGATTTGTAAGGCTCTGTTCTGAGAATATTGAGTTAAGTAAAAATATGAATAAAATGTCACAAAGTTAGAACTAAAATGAAGAGTGAGACATGCAAACTTTATTTGATAATCTTTTAATGTTCATTATTAAATTTAAAAGGAAAATTCCATTTTACAGTCATATTTCAGTCTGACTGAATTTTTATATCTGTAGGTTAAGTCATTAAAACCCGTATAACTGACAAATCAAAGAAAACCCATCATTCCTCCTTCCCCCAAGTTCGTTAACTGTGTGCATGGACAGCATCCTTACAGGTGCTTCAATCAGTGCAATCATCACTGATGAAGACTGAGGGCTGTAATGCATTTCATCCCCCGGCCTGTCGTTTGTGTCTTTGCTATATAGGAATAGGAAAGAATCATTTCCGACACCAAGGAAGGCGGGGCCACCTTTGGTGGTGGTACGAGCATACTCATGGAGACTCTGGCACAGGTGAACCTTAGTAAAGCTTCGTGAATTCACGTGGGTAAGACGGGATCGCTTTGAAGCTGCCGATGGTGCCTTCCTCCGCCCCCTGTTTTGCAGTGCCAGTCTCCCGGGGCTCCCGGCCCCTGCACTATAACCTTTGGGGAACGCCCTAGTCACAAAGCTCCGCGCGCCCAAACAAAGTGGTACCCCAAGACCTTGTCACTCCCTGCATCAACCGACTGGCTCCTTTAATGAGGGGGGCGTGGGCTAGTCCTCTACCCTCTGATTGGCTGTTGTCTGACGCTGTCCTCTGATTGGTTGACAGGTGGGAGGTGTGGGGGGCGTGAGGGGCTCCCTCTCTTTCCCGATTAAGATGGCGACTGTGAGGGCGCTGAGGAGCTGCTCGCGGACTGCGGGGCGCCTGGTAAGGGGGGCGGAGTGCCTTGTCGGGGCAGGCAGCGCGTGCACCTCCGCCTTCTCGGGTGTGTGGGCCCGTCGGGGAGGTGCTGCCCCGGGTGGGAGGAGCGACCCTGGTAGAGAGACCCTGCAGATCTCTGCCTCAGTTCCCCTTTCTGCGGAGCGCCAGTGCGGGCGCGTCCCCAGCCCAGAGCCCCTGCCACAAATACCTCAGTGCAGACCTGCCCTGTCCTAACACGGCAGAGTGCCTCGCCTAGACGCCCTAGTGCCCTGTCCCAGACCCTTCCGTGCAAACCTATCCAGGGTTGCCAGATGGTTTCAACAAAAATACCAGACACACTTGACATTACATCACAATCCACGTTGCATCTTATTTAGAAAATACCAGACATTTATATTGTCTCAATTTGTTTCCTGAACAGAAAGCTCAAATACTGGACTGCCTGGTTCAAAATCAAACATCTGGCAACCCTAGACCTGTCCTCAACATCCCAGATTCCTAGTCACTTCAGTGCAAACCCATCCCCGACACCCAGACTCCCGTCCCAGACAGACACCCGTGGGGGACCCATCCCTGTGCCATAGCCTACGTCACAGACTCCCCTGTGCTGACCTGTCTCTTGCCATAGCTCTTGTCCCAGACACCTCATTGCTGCCCCCATGCCAGAGCCCTCCACCATAGGCATCCTCATGTGGACTCCACCTCACCTCATAACCTCTCAGCCCAGATACCCCAGTATAAGTATTCCCTTACCATTTCATATCCCTTCAATAAACAAACACCACTACAAGGAAATTCATGCTTCAAATATACGTTCTCATAAGCCAGCTAGCTTTACCCTTTTTGGATAACCCTTGCATTCTTCCGTCTCGTTGCATTAGTTTACCCCATGCAGATGTCAATTATCTTCCTGTACTAATACATTCCTGTATCTTAGGTATGTCCAAGCCACACCAAGGCACACTTACTCTATATCTCTTTAATATGGTCCCTATGTCTGCATTACAACCACATTGAGTTTGTAGCTCCAGATCTAGAACAAGGAGCCTTTTGTTCAAGGTGTTTAAGCATCCTGCTTTTAATAAACATTGTAATCTCATCAATTAAAAATGTTTTTGCAAAATGATGCTCCGTATTTGTAGTTGTCTATATTATAACTTTTATTGAAGCATGTTGATGTGGGATGATATGGTTGCTGTTGTGTGAAACTTCACAAAAATGAAAGTATGATATTTTCCAGGTGAAAATCCATTTAAAATGAATATCCTGTTTTGTGAGAGAAGTGCATATTATTTTTGTCCCAACAGTGTCTCATCAGCTATATAGTTATATCCACTATAAACAATTATATCCACTTCCATCAAGTCACAGAGTTACCACTTTTTCCCTCATTTGGGATTCATTTAATGTGTTGTAATGAAGGATTTTTGTGATCATTCTCAATAGACTGTTTTGCAATCACCCATTTTTTAGACAATATTCAACACGCTTTAATTGTCAAAGCATTTTGAACACTGCAACTTTTTGTTTCTGCATGTTGTCGTATTAGTTGAACTAATCGGGTTACCTGCTTTTCATATTGGAGGAAAACTGTTTAGATAAGAGGCTCTTTTATCCATTTGCATTGGATTGACATGACTAGATAGAAGGCAAGAGGTGATCTCTTTCAACTTGTTCCCAGAACTTTAATTCAGGTTTGTACAGATCAACATCTTGAATTGTACCTTCCCAACTACCAGCCAGTGCAAAGATAGGAGCAAATGTGCTTTTCCATCTATCCCACATAGGAAGAGAGCAGTTGCATTCTCTGCTAATTGAACCTTTTATATGGTCTTAAATGATAGCTCTGAGTACATAATGGTAACAAAGCCTTAAGGGAATATGTCATCAGACTATACTGCTAGTTTCACAGTAGCAGCTGGACAGCTACAGGCAGTCCCCGGGTTACGTACAAGATAGGGACTAGGTTTGTTCTTAAGTTGAATCTGTATGTAAGTCAGAACTGGCATCCAGATTCAGACACTGCTGAAACTGACCGCCAGTTCTGACTTACATACAGAATCAACTTAAGAACCCCAGGCGTCCCCAAGTCAGCTGCTGCTGAAACTGATCAGCAGCTGATTCCAGGAAGCCCGGGGCAGAGCAACTCTGCCTGGGGCTTCCTGTAGTCAGCGCTGGTCAGTT